GACCATGCAGAAGACAAGGAACCACCCACACCAATTCTTGCAAAAAAAAAAATCTCTTTAAAATATTAAAACTTACAAATATTACTATATATTACCTTCTACTCCACACAACCACACATCTCTAGCCTATAGATGCTAGTATAATTAGATCATTCAAGTCTAAATATAAATGCCTATACTGCGAATATGTTCTCAAGCAATTTAAATCTAATGCTGATATAAAAAAGTTTGTATAATAAGGCTTCAAAATTAAAAAAAAATTTCAGAAATAAATAAGAGTATTAAAACTTATTTTGCGTTTCAAAATTTTGAAATTAAAAAAAAAAAAAAAAAAAAACAAAATAGAAGTATTAGAGATCCCATTACATGAAATCAGTTAAATTTAATAACGCTAATATAATCTTATTTGAACACAAATACTTTACCTCTTTCAATCAAATTAGACACCTATATTTTAATTTTGAAACTCTTTAGTTATTATATCTTGTTATTGTTTAAACTAATTTTAATTTTTTTTTTCTACAAAAAAAAATATCTGTAAAAAAAGTCATTGATTTTATTGCAGAATCATAAGATAATGTAAATAATACTACCATTTAAAACTGCTAAAATAAGACAAAAATTCTTCCAAACACAAATGAGACAAACACAAATAAGGCAAACGCAGACACCACAGATCAATACATCGAAAATGATACTCTATTAGAAAATAAAAAAATTAAAGAAATTACCAGATGAAAGTTTCTATACCCCGGAGACCGCTCAAGCTATACAAATATATCTACAAATAATTGATAAATCTATCGCTATGAAAGAAATACTTGATGATGAGAGAATCATTTCTATGCTTCAAGCTAAGGAGAATGAAGAATTAATAGGGCAAAAAGATAAAGATGAAGATAAGATACCCAATCTACTAGTAGCAGCAGCTGAAGCATATGATACAATACAGACCATTATTCACTATAAAGAGCAAGAAAGTTCAGAGTTAAATCTCTCTCTTGAAGAATTAGAGTTTTTAAGAAAATTACTCAAGGAATATAAACGTGTATATGAAAAGTCAAAAAAACAAACCAAAATTACTAGTTTTTTTAAACTTCAAGGTTCATATTCTTATTTTCAAGATTCATCTCTTCAAGATTTATCTTCTCAAAATCCATATTCCCAAGATTTATATTCTTAAGATCCATATTCTCAAGATCTGTATTCCCAAGACTCATATTTTCAAGATCTGTATTTCCAAGATCTGTATTCCCAAGATCTATATTCTCAAGATTTGAATTCACAAGATTTGGACTCAGAATCATATTTGCAAAATTCGTATATTCAAGATTCGCACATGTTCTAGAGTATAAGTAGAAATCTTAAATTTGTTAATGTTAAAGTATAATATGAATTAAATTAAAATCCTGATCTTCTTATAGTTAAGATTTTCACATAATCTTTAGCTATAATTAATGTTTATTTAGTATAAATTAAAATGTGTATAGTTAGATTATCATATGTATTACTGTAATAGTAGTTATTACCACCTTATACATAATAGCCTGCTAGTACTATGCTTTTAGTTTGTGAAAATATTACTGTCAAGCTGGAGTCAGTATAGTGAGGTTATTTATTACACATAAATTACTATATATATATACATATAAATGCCAGTCTACTTATAGGTAATAAATAAATAGCATATATTAAATCAAAAAGCTCAATTTACAAAACTGTATCTAAAAAAATTATATTTATATATAATTACTTTATATAGTTATGAGTTTTTTTATTTACTATTAAAGTGACTATATAAAGGTTTTTTTTAATATAGTCACACTCTTTTATAGTCACCCAAATTCTGTTTCCTGAACCTGTGACTATAATGAGGTCCGACTGTATTTGAAAATATAGATTACTTTTTTATAGTATTTATTTTTAGATTATTTATAAAACAAAAAGAATTTTACTAATTAAATATGGGATGTTTGAAATACAGATATGATTTACAATTAATTCTTATTAAAAATACAAGTAAATAATAGTATTTTAATTAATATTAAAATTAGATTAGAAGTAAAATTTTGCAAAAAAATTTTTTTCTTAAAGCCTAAAAGATGGTTTAATAATTAAAATTTTAAAATATCATCAATTATTTACTTTTTTTTTTATTTTTTTATACAAAAAATGATCTGTATACTGTATTTAATTTTATATTTTGATTGGCTTTTCTATTTGTTTTGTATAACAAGTATTCAAATACCTTGTATACAAATAGTAATTGTCAAACAAAAATATACAATTTTAAAAATAATTTTTTTAAAAAAAATATTTTAGTTTATCTATGATAAATTTTTTAAATATTAATTTTAGACCTATAGTTTCTAATATAACTTTATAGCTTGAATAATAAATTATAATTTTAATTATTATACATTTAGTAATTAACTTGTAAAAATTAATACTTGTCTTAAGAATAAATTTTTTTTTAGCATCAAAAACATATAACATTTTAGAAAACTTAAAAAATTTTAATAGTAAACTCTAATATTACACAAATTTTAAATTTTAATTAATTAAAAGTTTTTTAATAAATTTAAAATTTTTTTTAACAAAGTTAATAAAGTAGATTTTTAAAAATATATTTTATTTAAAAAGTATATTGCTAAAATTAATATTTAAGTTTTATTAAAAAATTAGAGTTTAAAAAAATAAATACAAGCAAATTTGCCTATATTACAATTTAAGAAATAATATAGTACAATATACTATCAGTAATATAGATAAATTCAATCTATTAATATATATTAAAGTTAAAATTAGCAAAAAAAAAATTTATATTTTTTTGCTTATATGATATATTACTACTTATAGGATCATATATAATGTAATATCAAATATGTTAGTTTAAAATTAGAATTAATACTAGACTACAGTTAGAAATATCTTCAAAAAAGAATTTTTAATCTAAATTTTGTAAGAAATTTTTTAATTAGAATATAAGAAATAGTTTTATAGACAAATCTTGAGTTATAAACAAAAGACTATAGATTTTATATTATATTAATTTTGTATTTTAATTAGTTGATTAGAGTAGTGATACATTACTATAGCAATAAATTAAAAAAATATTGCTTGTATTAAAAAATTTTTTTAAAATAAAAATATTTTTATAATCAAATTTTAAAATATTATTAATTTTTAGTTTTTATTTATTTATTTATTTTTTTTCAGTATAAAGATGAGGTCTTATCTCGTATCTTTATTTAGATAATTCCAAGTATTTGCTTTATATAGCTATATATCTAACTTAAGAATATAAATTTAGCAATCTTATCTATAACCTAAATCTACCAAAATATGTTACGTTTCTACCATGTATTGGCTTATACCTAGATTTGATGTTCAGACAGATCTAGTTATCTACTATATTCAACTCATGTCCTATCATCAAATCTTGATAACTTTCAAATTAGTTTATTTAGGTATTTAGTTCTTAATAATCTCCCAATTTGATATGCCTATTATTTGGTACTCTTTTAAACTAATATACTTTTCTAAAGGTGGCCTCTCATGTATGTTTTTCAAGCCAGATAACTGCTGCTATCACTAGTCTCACATGAGAAGTATTGGTATCACATGTTAGAAAAAAGATTTCTTACAGATTCTTGTAAAGGCAGATATTTGCTTTATTTTATTATTCAGTTTTCTTTATTTTTAGTCTCTCT